AAAAAAAAAAAAGAATAACCCTCAGAAATAAAAATGGACCTTCTTAGAAAAAACAGGCTACTTTTACACGCTCAGCTTTTCACCGACACATGCCTGTGAGCCCAGTGCTGCACATCAACACCACACCGGCATGTCCAGGGGTGTGACTGAGCAGCAGAGAAGGGGGCGTCCCTGGGCGAGGTGGCCTGCTCTTACCTTCGCTAGATTTCTTGGGCACTTGAAACTTGACAAGAAGCTTCTTCAACTGCTCGCGCACTGTCGCAGCTCTGACAAGACCCTTGTAATTCAGGAAATGCTCCTGGCACCACTGAGAGTTTTTATTGTGCTGCAGGGCGACCGAGACAGAGGGTGAGTGAGAGACACACAGATAGTTCTCGACCACGGCTAAGCTGCGAGGCGCACCGCTTCCTCATGGGGACAAGAGCTTCCGGTGCCGATGGGCCCCTTTCGACCCCACCTCCCTAAACGGGCGCTGACCACCGTGCACCGTGTGACTGCTCTTCCAGCTCAGTCCCTGTGCTTAAGGGCAAAGGAGAACATGCTGACAAGCAGTTGTTTCCTATCTGAAATACCCACCCGGGTGGCGAATTATCAGAAAGAACCACTTCCCCGTGGGTCTTTGTCAATTAACTTTGTAAGTCAACTTTCTCCGAGTTTACCAATCTGCGAGACTACAGGTGAGCAGCACTTGCCAATCTAGAAATAATGTGCAAGTTATTATTATTTATCCCCAAAGTATGATTTTTCTATCAACAGTGCTTAATTTTATTCTACATTCCTAAGCGTGATCATTATGTCTTACACTGAGTTACTGCCGTGGGAATGTTATGTCTGAAATCATGCCGTAAGCCAGAAAGGACGATGTTTCACGTAAGAAGATGTAATTCACAGACTTTCGGAGGCAACTCCGCACAACGGTGGTGTAGACCTGTGCCCGCCCTCCCCCGGTGGAGGGAGCCTCAGACTGCAGACGGCACGCTGTGCCGGTACAAACGAATTTTAACTGAAGTAACTCATAATTCGTGATCTCCGTTAAGAGATGGGGCTTTTCTGAAGACTGTTCATTAACTGAATAATCTCCCTTAGATCCCTGGCAAAACAAAAATTCAGTACTTCTCCTCTTCTAAGAAAGTATTTAAGAAAATGATACAAGATACTGAAAACCTGAAGCATCTAATTTCCCCCTCCCACCCATTCCTATATATAAGAGGTTTCTTATGGTTTTCATCAGCTTTAGAGCTGTCAGGACAGCTTTTCAGCGGTTTTTAGTGACAATTTCAAGCTGCATTATTTGCTGAGTTTTACAAAATGTTAAGAATATTCCAGAAAAACACAATAAAAATGAACAGTACCTACGGCTAAATACGGGTACGGCGTGTGAACAGACACGGGTCCTCACCACACGCCCCTCCCACGGCCTGTCACGCCATCTCACACGCCCAGAGACAGCTCTGGAGATGCCACTCAGGGCCTCGCTTATTTGGCAGAAAATAGAACAGGGCTTGGTATTCAGATGCCGGCTAGTGTGAACCAGCATCACCGGCGGGTGTGAGGCAGTAGGGAGAGAGCAGGCCCTGGAGGGGCATGGCCAGCCGGCCACGTCTCCAGGCAGGGGAAAGCCAGGGCGACTCGTGCGTTCTTCCAGGCAAAAGCGCACCACGGACTCTGGTAGGGGCCCCGCCCGTGGATCAGAAGTCCTGGCAATAATCTAACAGGAAGATAGGAGGTCTCTCGGTCATTCCTTTATAAACTGAACCTCTGGACTCCCCACTCCTAGCTCACCTCGAGTGGGGTGGAGGGGCCTTTCGGGTGGGAGCTGTGCTTACTTTGATAAACGCTTCATACACGTTGAGCATAGTGAGATGATCACCCTCCTCCACAGCAAATTTTCGGTGCACTCGCATCTGGAAAGAACAAAGTTGACTCCTGTGAGCCTCCTGTACCGGAAGCTAACATCACGCGGTGAGCAGCTCATGGCCTGCGTAGTCAGAAAGACCTGGTCTGCACCGACGCTAGCTCTGCCTTCCCTGAAAACCTGACTAGTGACGTAACCTTTCTCTTCCTCAACTTCCTCATCTGTCAAATCAGGGTATCAAACCCATCGAGACTGTTGTAGGATTAAGGTGATTCACTGTAACACCGGCCACAGACGTCAGACAGATGTCAGCGTTCTCGTCTCTCTCCTCCTCTGTGCAGTCAACACCACCTCTTCCAGAAGAACCCCTCCAGCCCCCAGAAGATAAATTCTAGGGGGCTGGGTGGGGGCAGCTGTCTGGCGCGTGGTAGACACTGTATTCGTGGGCTATCACCAGCTGCACGATCCTTTCAGACCCCATCATTCAATTTTCCTTTCTGTTACCTCCTGGGCAACACCACCCTGCTCCCGGGAGTTCAAGCAGCACGTACGATACAGATTTGAGCTCGCAAATACACTTATCTGCACAATTTTCTCCTTGCCTCAAATGCCACATAATTAACCGACCTACCTACCCGCCTCCCTGCCTTCCATCCATTCCTTCATTAACTGGTATTTCCTGAGCACGACCAGAGGCCAGGCGCTGTTCTAAGCACTTGGAATGTAACAGTGAACAAAACAGGGGTGGGAGCAAAAACCCAACAGGTTAACGAGCCAAACATATAGTAGAGCAGGTTGTAAGAAGCGTTGGAGGAGAGCAGGGCAGCGGAGGGGGTGCACGGCCACGGGGACGTGCTGCCATTTCAGACATATGGCAGTCAGGACCTCAGGTTCCTCACCTTGGAAATGAGTCTGCCTGTTCTGAAGGAGGAGCGTTAGATTAACAGAAAAGCAAACAGGGGAGCCTGGGTGGCTCAGTCGGTTAAGTGTCCGACTTCAGCTCAGGTCATGATCTCGTGGTCTGTGGGTTTGAGCCCCGCATCGGGCTCTATCCTGACAGCTCAGAGCCTGGAACCTGCTTGGGATTCTGTGTCTCCCTCTCTCTGCCCCTCCCCTGCTCACGCTCTGTCTCTCTGTCCTTTGAAATTAACATTAAAAAAATAAATAAAAAGAAAAAAAGGAAAAAAAAGATAATAGAAAAGCAAACAAACAAAAAAACAATGGAGAAAATGGACATAACCACCAGGCACAGGGACAGGAAAACTTTGCAACATATGACACGACTGTCAGGGAAGGGGACACCAGCCCATAAGAAAGTCTCTCCTCCCCGGCACACACCCAAGCTGAGTTCCCGTGTGTGCAGGGCAGCCGCTTCTCGGCCTCTTCCCGCAGGAACCATCCCAACCTCACCTGGCCCGCCTCACCACCAGGGGCTGACTTCTCCAGTCTCCCCAGCACCCACTCCTGCAGTGCTGTCTGGTGCCGGGGCCTCAGGCGGGGGGCCCTGCCGTCTCCTGGGCTCGGAGCGCCCCTCCACCAAAAGCAGCCTGCTGTGCCTAGGCACGACTCATTACGTCACTAGTGTGTGCCACCCGGCTTGTCCCGGAGCAGCCTGAAGGCCCGTCTCCCTTATGGGGAAGTCAGCGGGACACAGGTTAAGACCGGGGTCTCTGGACTGTGAAAGGCAACGGCCCCATGGCTGTGCAATCACAGACAAGTTACCTAACCTTTCTGGGCCTCCACCTCTAAAAATGGTGAGGACGGTGTCTACCCTTCCAGGTTTATGAAGATATGACGGAATGAGGCACAATGTCAGGCAAACACTGAGGATGCACACAGACTCCATCTGCACAGCCCTGTCATCGGTGGCTCCCAGGTCCTTTCAACAAGGAAAGCCCAGAATAAAGACTTAGGTAGGAATGGCTTGGGGAAAAGGCTGAACTTACTGCCTGAGACTTCTGGTTTGAGGGGACCACAAAGATATTCTGGATTTGCATCATGGCTGCAATGCTTAGAATTTCCTGAGAACAGCCAAAATTTCCTATAAAACAAAAAAGGCACGTTTGATTTCAAACACATATTCTGTCGCTGAGAAGTGAAAGACATCTTGTTATTTTCCTTACACCACAGTGTCACCAAAGTCATACATTTATAAATCGTCTGATTACCACATGAACTTTCCCCTGCTGAACGTAGCGTCCCATATGTGGCCCCGGTGAACGCAGGCCTGGGAGGATTCTGAGAAAGCACAGCCTCCGGGCTCGGCAGCTGACGGGGGCGGGAGGGCAGGGGGCCGCGTCACTCGGGGCAGGTCCGCTCCACACCGGTTCCCCACTCCTATGTGGACAGAGGATCCTGGCCAAAACCCAAGAGGGAACAGAGGGGCAGCAGGGAGTGTGTGGGCTGTGTCCCCTCTGTGATTTCTCTCCTCCTGTACCCTCCTCTGGGGTGGCCTCCCTCTCGCTAGGGCCCACCCCACCTGGCAAGCTCAAGGCACACGTAGACCAGGGCAGCACCCTGCCCTGGAAACTGGGTCTGTGGCAATCAATGCCTCAGGGCACTGGACAGTGAGAGCAAACTGCACTGCCCGGCCCCCTTCCCACAGCTCCCTGCCTCACGACTGATATGCACCCCCCCCCAAACTTAAGAGTCCCGCTTCTCAGTGTAAGCCTGAGGTCATCCGGGCACTCCTAAACACAAGTATAGCTAACTCCCACCATGCTTAGTCTGGCTTAGTCTGAAATACAGCTTTGCAAATTCCTAGAGAGTGCACAAGCTAGCCAAAGGCAAGAAAAAATTCTTACTTCCTTTCCCACCAGGGGTGGTGGCTGGGGGGAGAAACACATAAACTATAGTCTCCAGATGATTCTGACGTACAATGAGAAGATCTCTGACTTATGAACTCAACTCATAATCTCACAAAAATCTGAAGGCGTCAGAGAAGTTGGGACCCTCGTGTGCTGGGAGAGGGAATACAAAACGGTGCAGCCTCTGGGGAAAACGGTATGGTGCCTCCTCAAAAAAATTACAGAGTTACTGGATGGCCCAGCAATTCCACTGTAAAGTATATACCCCAAAAAAGTGAAAGCAGGGACTCAAACAGATGCTCGCGTGCCCGTGTTCAGAGCAGCACTATTCACAACAGCCAAAAGGTGGAAGCCATCTAAGTGTCCCTCTGCAGATGAATGGTACATACACACAATGGAATATTATTCAGCCTCGAAGAAGGACATTCTGACAGATGCTACAACATGAATGAACCTTGGAAGACAGTACATCAAGTGAACTAAATCAGTCACAGAAGGACAGACGCTGTAGGGTTCCACGGAAGTGAGGTTCCCAGAATAGTCAAATTCATAGAGACAGAGAGGAGAAAGGTGGTTGCAGGGGCTGGAGGGGAGGGAACAGGGAGTTGGTATTTAAGGGGTACAGAGTTTCAGTCTGAAAAGATGAAAAAGTTCTTCTGGTAGGTCTGGAAGTGGATAGTGATAGGGGCTGAGCAACAATGTGAATGTACTCAATGCCTCAAAACTGCACACTTAAAAATGGTTAAAATGGTAAATTTTATGTATTTTTTACCATAATGAAAAAAAAAGAAAACAACTTCCCTGTTTTTGTTTGTTTGTTTTGTTTTTTTTTTTTTTTAAACAGGTCAGGCATTAGGTCTAGGCCCCCAGAAAAGAAACAAAAGTTTTTGCTGAATTAATGATGATGGACACTGAATCCCAAGTTAACAACATGCCCCACATCAGACAGCATTATGGGAAAGCTCCTTCGCTCCTCAGAAGATCCCGTGCCCTCTTCCCCAGGGTGCACAAAAGTCGAAGAAGTTGGTGACAAAATCAGTGAGAACTGTCCGTCTCCACCTACCTGATTCAAGCAGCATTTTTGCAAACATGGGATTCAAAGGAAACTCTGCTATTCTCATGCCGAGCGGTTCAGTGAGGCGACAGTCTTTGTCCAGACCTTCCAGAAGAACAACAAGGAAAATCAGAAGGCACGTACCACTGTGTTGGAAGATGTAGTTATCGAGAGAATAAAAGACGATATATGCTAAAAAAGATACCCAAAGGATGAATCATGCTACCAAACTCCATCTGACACCAGAGGGCTGTTACAGTAAGAGAAGAAAAGATCCCCTCTGGGCTCCTGAATACCCAATTTTGAAAAACGGAGACTTCTAACAGCTTCTATTCAAGGACTGAATTACAAGGAAAGGGCCCTGCAGCCTCCCCTCCTTCCCGCTCCCCTCACCCACCCCAGAGCCTGCTCTTTTCAAGTGCAGATGTCCCAGAATGGCATCCTGCACCCTCTGTTCCTCCCGAGGTAAGAGAGCCAGCACAAGGCCAGCGACTCTGAAGCCGAACACTTGCCCACATCTCTCTTGGATGCCAGCGCCGGAAGTGTTTATCCAACTGCCTCCTGGGCAGTCTACTGAATTGGGCGGATCCCAGTTCCCCACATCCCTCCTTGCCTCTTCACCACTAGCCAATATACAGGGACTGGATTCCTGAGACGGTGACTTTTATTTTACTACTGTTTAGACTGTTCCCGAGGTGTGCCGGCCCAGAGAGAGTGTGAGCTGCAGAGCTCAGAGTAAGACAGAAAAGGCAATTTCTCTTCTGTTCCCATGTAATCATCTCTTGAAAGGTGGTAATTCGGCTGGTAACTGTTAATTAAGTCAGGTGGTTCCCCCTGCCTTCTCCAGCTTATTCAGGGAGGTGAAGAAAGAGAAAATAATTTTAACTTCCATTCTGTTGGACTGGAGGAAAATCAAGCCAAATGAAAAACTATGTAGTCAGTGTTCCCTCATACTCGTTATAGACCATCCCAGGAAAGCCGACTCTCGGGTTCCTACTACACGCCTGAGAACAAGGGATGGAAACCCGCTCCAGCTCACACTCTCCCTGGCTGACATGATGAAGACCCACCTAAAGGTCTTTTAAATCACCGACGATCTTTTAAATCAGTCATTGGCTATTCCTTCCCAGAGAAGTATCATAAAGGTAATGGATACAGACGGACCCCATACAAAAAAATTAACCCATAAACGGATCACAGGGTCACCGCGGTGGCTCAGTCGGTTGAGCGTCCAACTTCTGCTCAGGTCACGATCTCGCAGTTGGTGAATTCGAGCCCCGCATCGGGCTCTCTGCTGTCAGCACGGAGCCGACTTCAGATCCTCTGTCCTCCCCTCTCTCTGCCCCTCCCCAGCTTGCACTATCTCTCTCAAAAAAATAAATAAACATTAAAAAAGGGGGGGGGGGTCACAGATGTACTAAATGTAAGAGCTAGAAACTATAAAAACCTTTCAAAGAAAACCTAAGAGATACCCATGCCCATGGGTCGGGCAATGGTTTCTTAGGTTAACACACCAAAAGCACAAGCAACAGAATTAGAAATACGTATACTGAACTGCGTGAAAACTTAAAGCTTTTGTATTACCAATGATACCATCAAGAAAAGTGAAAAGCCAACCCACTGAGTGGGACAAGTATTTACAAATCACAGATCTGATAAGAAATGTATACCCAGAATACATAAAGAACTCCTCCAACTCAATAATAAAAAGACAATAACCCCAGGGAAAATGGGCAAAGGATTTGAATGGACATTTCTCCAAAGTTCTACGAATGGCCAATAAGCACAGGAAAAAGTGCTTAACGTCATTAGTCATTAGGGAAATGCAAATCAAAACCACAAGATACCACTTCATATCCACGAGGATGACTATAACACAAAACACAGGTAACAGGTGTTGGCAACTTGCTCGAATGTTATTATGTGAAGCAAGTGGAATCTTCATACACGGCTGGTAGGAATGTCCACCAAAAACTAGCACACAAATGTTTACAGCAGCATTATTTGTATTAGCCAAAAAGGGGAAACAACCCAAATCAACTGCTCAGTGGATAAGGATACTATCTGGTATATCCAACCCACACGATGCTATGTTATTCAGCCATAAAAGGGAATGAATTATCAACACACACTACAACATACATGAACCGTGAAAACATCGTGCTGAATGAAAGAAGCCAACCGCAAAAGACCACATATATGTGACTCCACTTCTGTGAAATGTCCAGAACAGGCAAATCTACAGAGACAGAGATTCGATTAGCAGTTGCCTAGGACAGTCGCGAGGAGGAGGGGACAGGGAGTGGGAGTGAGCACGAGTGGGTACAGGGTTTCTTTCTTCGGTGATAAAACTGTTCCAAATGTTCTAAACGTGGGGTGATGGCTGCACAACCCTGGGAATATACTAAAACCACAGAACTGCACATTTTAAATGGGTAAATTCCACAGCATGTGAATTATACTTCAATAAAGATGTTAAAAACAAAACAATCTCAAAGGACAAAACCTCTACTGAAACTCACTACCATACCAGACATTATGCTCACTTGGGGCAACATTCATAGAAAAGATAGGTACTTCCTGAACAGATGAATTCAGGCTACAGTTTTCTCTATCTTAAGATAAACACTACATTTTTATTTATTTATTTTTCATTAATTTTTTTCAAAGCAGGCTTCCCATCCAGCGCAGAGCCCAACATGGGGCTTGAACTCACGACCCTGAGATCAAGACCTGAGCCGAGACGAAGAGCTTAACCAACTGAGCCATTCAGGCTCCAACACTACATTTTTAAACGAAGAGAATAGAGGTTTCTCGATAACCTGGTGTTTCCTTGCCCCCAAAGAATTCCACAGGCTGGTCATCAACCCAATTCTCCACAGGGAACTCCAAGAATGGAATGATGGGGAAGAGGGAGACAACAGTGAGCCTGAGATTTCAGGATGCAGTGGAGGGACTGAGAAAAAGGTCTGGAGAGGTAACACCTGAAATACTGGTAGGCAATCTTCTAGATGTCTTTCAGGAGTGTGGCTCCAGTGATGGTTATTAATAGCTTCTGATGTACTGACATGCTTTAGGTATTCATTGTCATAAGTGGACTTCATCTATTAATTATGATCCCACCTTTTTTATTTCAATAAAGCTTAAGGGTTATTAAAAGGATTGTATATGTGGGGAGAACCAATCCCACTCCTAAAGACACCAAGAGCCCTAGTGTGAATACAACCTACCTAATACCATCTATTAGTAAACAGATTAGAGAACACGGATGAGACAGGCATACCTCCCAGAGCATAGAGTAACTCCAATGCTTGAACCATCGACTGTGCTGGAGGGGGCTGTAAAAACATAAAAATCCTCCTAAGTTAATTTTTTCGGGTACCAGACACAAAATGTGACTATTTCCTGCTCAAAGCCGCTCTTCCCTCTTACGTGCCCCATACATCCCGGCCTCCGGGCCTCTATTCATGTCAGCGCCCCCTGAGGTGTCCTTTCTCTCCTCAGCATCCTTAGTGCTAATAGGTCTTCAACCTCAGCCTGATTAAACATTGCCCCTTGAAGCGCTCCCCACGCTCCCCTCCATCAGGAGTGATGGCTCCCTATCTTGAACAACCTCCCTGTTTTTCTCCACTCCCATCGGACATTTCTGATTTTTTCACTTCATAGTCTCCACCTTCCACTCCAGCAGCCCCGGTGGCCAACCCTGGACCACCCAGAGCCCAGCTCCAGGCGTTGCCTACAGAGGGCAAATGACAGAGGCGGGATCTGAATTGCTGAAAACAACAGAGAATGCGAGGCAATCTGAAGTTAAGCAAAGCTGCTATTGTGACCTTCAGTCTGATTCTCTGAATCCAAATCACATCCCTAGTATTTTCACCTAACCACACACACCTAGTATTTCTCTCTGGCCTCATCTGATTTGGGACCGTATGTGAACACTATGTTTTAAGATAGCTGGAAGGACTGCTTATGTATAATTTTAGTTCGTTTTTCTCACTGTATGATTTTGTGTTTTTTCACCCATAGAAACTTCACCGTGATTATTTGGATGGCTGCATAATATTCCAACCAGGTCATACTCTGTAAAGTAAGCAATTGTCTTAGTCCTGGCAACTGACTTGTTTCCAGTTCTTTGCTACATAATTAACACTGCTAAATATACAAAGTTACATGTACCCTGTGATTTCAATTGTTAAAAAAAAAAAAAAAAAAAAAAGAACAACACAGTTTCAGGAGAAAACAACCAGAGGGAAATCAACAAAGATGAATTTATACTATTTTCCTCATTCTTCAACTGTCCACAAGTTTATGATTTTCATTATTCTACTTAAAAATTTGATACACAATGATACTATAAACATGATCATACACCGAAGTGTTTTTTCTTCTGAATTGTTTTTTCAGGAGAAATTTCCCTGAGAAGAAATACCAGGCATTTCTACGGCTCCTTAGATAATGTCGGAGAGCCCTCAGGGACTCAAACAGGAGAATATAACTGCCGTCCCAAACCGTGCCAGCTTTGGATTTTACCATTTTGCTTCATGGGATCATTTAACTAACGTAAAGCGGTGCCTTATAGCTCTTTCAGTCCGCACATATCTGTCTCCCACAGAAGCATGGGTAAGCTTCCACTGTCCACGCACTCTGCTGCCTCCTTTCCTTCGGCTCCTTCCCCAGCAGGTAGCTCACAAGTTCCAAAGGACGCCTGAAAACTCTTTGCACTTTCTCAAGTGCTGATACGTCATTTCTGCCGTAATACATATTTCCTTTCATCCTAGATGTGAGGTTCTTCTTAAGCTTCTAATTTGCATGTACTGTTATCTTTTCTTTATAACTTCTTGCACACACCAGTAATCAAAGCGTGCGTTTTTTCCATATTTATGGTGAACACACAATTGTTTTCTTTGGGACACAGGCTGACGTTTTCTATTCCTTCATTCACCTAGTTCATCATGACATGCATATGCCATCAGGGACTTTATCATCCGGGAACCCAGGCTTGTCACACAACAATGCAGTCGGGGCAGAACAGAGTTAAAATTCAAGTCTTCAAATCATAAAAATTCAGGAAGAAAACATGACTGAATGTTTATTAACTGACCTAGATACGGGGAAGTGTGTCATAAGCAAGGGAACAAGAAAACAAATCATAGAGACAAAGACTTGACTGTGGAAATATTTATAATGTCTGCACATTTAAAAAACAAATTAAAAAAAGAATAAAATAACTGGAAAAACCATTTCCAAGAAATACAACAGACAAAGGTTACCGTCTTTATTAAAGGACTCCTAAAAATCACCACAGACACTTATTCTAACAGAGAAACGGCTTAACGATTCGGAAGAAATATAAAGCGGATAATAAATTTTTTTTTTTTAACTGTCTTTTAAGAAATCAAATATTAAGGTACAGCTATTTTTCCTTCCTCCCTCCCTGCCACCAAGGCAATCAGCAAAGCTCTACCAGAAAACAAAACGGCATGATGAAGGCACCACGAGTGGGCATCGTGCAATACTGGACTTCAGGCATAAAAGCAATCTGGCCACATGTCAAGGATGTACAAAATGGCTATGGCCGTTGGACCCAATAATTTCACTCCTGGAAACCTGTCTCAGGAAATAATCCGGAATGAGATCGGCCACAAGGACGTCCCTGCAGCTCTCCCCCAGCTGCCAAGCTCCCTCACGTAGGCCCACACATGCTGGCTGTCCTGGCTCTCCCGTCCCTCCCACGTGCTGAGATCCTTCTTGCCTTTCAGGTCTCACTTCACACACGACTAACCAGGGCGGGGGCCTTCCTTGGTCTCTCAGAGCACCGGGCCCACGCACTGCAATCAGTTACTTGTCTCCCCCCCCGGCAGACAAGTACAGGACGTTGCGTCTGCCGTCTGCCTCCACTCCCCCATACCCTGCGAGGGCCTGGTGCAAAGTGGCACACGACGCATGAGCTAAGTGGAAATAAAAAAGAAGAGTGACGTGCTCTGCTCTATCTGATGTCCTGACATTCACCAGTGGGCATGCAGACAGAGAGCAGGACTTACCGACATGAAGTGGAACCTGAGGACGTTGTCGATCCCTAGTGCTTTCAGCTGGAGGATGACAGGTGCCAAGTTGCTACGCTGCATCTCAGGGACAGTGCATTGAGGCAGCTTGTCAAAGGCTTCCTCTGAGGATAGGAAATCAGAACTGTTTGGGGTCAAATGCCACAGTCAAATGCAATCGTTGTGCCCAAGGCACAGGTTTTCGTCTCTGACAAGAGGCTTTAAGATTCTAGGATCAGATGCCTAGGATGTCACACAACAAAGTTGTTTCGTATTTATTTATTTATTTTTTTAATTTTTTTTTTTCCAACGTTTATTTATTTTTGGGACAGAGACAGGCATGTGAGCAGGCTGAGGGCGGAGAGAGAGGAGACACAGGGCTCGAGAACAGGCTCAGGCTCTGGGCCATCAGCCCAGAGCCAACATGAGGGCTGAACTCCTGTGAGATCATTGACCTGGCTGAAATTCGGATAAACAACAGGCCTAAGCCGCAAACCCCAGTTGTTTCGTATTTAGAAAAGACCACTCTATATAAAAATACCTTAGCTGTTTATATCTTTATAAACAATATACCTTTTATTGAAAGAGAGAGAAAGGGGGAGAGGGAGAAAGAGAGAGAGAGAGAGAGAGAGAGAGAGAGAGAGAATGTGTGAACACGAGTTGGGGAGGGGCAGAGGGAGAGAGAGGGACAGAGGATCCGAAGCAGGCTCTGTGCTGACAGCAGAGTCCGATGCGGGGCTCAAACTCACAAACCGTGAGATCATGACCTGTGCCAAAGTTGGACATTTAACCGACTGAGCCACCCAGGAGACCCCCTCCCTCTTTTTTATTTTAGAGAGAGAGAGAGTATCTTTATAAAAGTCTGTCCTTTTGGGGCGCCTGGGTGGCGCAGTCGGTTAAGCGTCCGACTTCAGCCAGGTCACGATCTCGCGGTCGGTCCGTGAGTTCGAGCCCCGCGTCAGGCTCTGGGCTGATGGCTCGGAGCCTGGAGCCTGTTTCCGATTCTGTGTCTCCCTCTCTCTCTGCCCCTCCCCCGTTCATGCTCTGTCTCTCTCTGTCCCAAAAAAAAAAAGTCTGTCCTTTTACTTTAAGAGCCTTTTTTAATGTGCTTTTTGCCAGTAAAACATTAATCAAAGCAACAAGTACTTGCTGAATCCCTACTGGTGCCCAGGCACCATTACCCTCTGCCTGGGCTGCATCAAGTCTAGAAAGCAAGAACTGTACATATCAGCCAAGAACAATCTCAACGCAAATCACCAAAACGGTAACCACAATAGAGCAAATGACCAAATCTTACAAAGGGCAAAAATCGTCCAAATCTATCTTTTAAAACCAACGGGCCAGGCATGCGTCACTCTCAGAATCTGATGCTGCCCCAAACAGATCAAGGAATGCTGACATGCCCCATCAGGGACAAAAGGTGACCGACAGGAAAAAGCACCACAAGGTGATGCCAAGATGGGAGGCCACAGGAGAGGGGTAGGGAGGAAGAGGCTTTGGGAGGCCTTTTAATAAAAGCCTGACAAACAGGGTGGAGGAAAAAGAGGGAGGAAGGGATTAAATCACTTCTGTATATATTCAGTAAGCTTCTGGATTATACACAGCATGCTCCACCCACAAATCCCTCTAATCAGTCAACATTTTAACTACGCACACCCTCTTTAACACAAGGCTCACCCAACCTCCATGCAGATCATAAGGTTTTGGTTAACTAAGGAAAGAAAACAACAAAAGGTATCGTGAAGAAACAGCACTATCCCTGAAGAACTTCAAAAATGTTTTCAGAAACAACCAATATTCTGAGGACTGATGGATGCAGATTGCCAAATGCACAGGTCTAGCTGGAAGGTTCAGAATAACAGGCGACAACAGGAAGTTCCAAATGGGATCCTCCCTCTGGGTTTCAAGAGTATTTGGGGACAGCTTTTGCTAGGATAACCACTTTTCCAAGCACACTGCTGGCCAAGGGAGAGCAAAGTTATCAGATACGAGACAACCCTGCTGAGATACCGCTCTCGGGAAGCAGTGCTTCCCAAGAGTTCAAGGACACTCAATTAAATTCCACTGAGGACTCGACTACACAAGGCCCTGGGCCAGGAGCTGCGGGAGCAGCTGTGAGACGCTTCAGTGATATGAAAGGGCTGGCACCGAGACCGGAAACAGTAAACTCCAAGGCTGGGTCCCAGTGAATGGCCCTCCTGAAGGAAAATGGAGGCTCAGGGAAGGAGGAAGCACAGTCATTAGAGGAAGTATCTGAGGTCACTTCATGAGGAAGCTGCCATTTGAGAAAGGATCTAAAGGATAAGGGGGATCTGCCGGGCAGAGGAAACAACCCAAGGAAAGGTATCAAAAGTATGAGAAATGGGTGTGGACAAACAGAAGGTATGTTCGGGAAGAGCACGGTTCAGCTTGGATGCAGGGCAGAGCAGGGTACGTGGGTCATGGCAGAACATAAGTGAGGGCAAGTTCTGGAGGGCTCTGGGAAATGGTGAAGGGTCTGAGCAGAGAGCACTCTGCTCAGGGCTACATTCTGTGAAAGCGCATCTGGAAGCCAGTTAGCCAAAAAAGCCTAGAGGCTGGATGCTAACGCACCCCATTTCTGTCGGGTGAACCCTACCCAACCCCACTCCACTGAAACCGTTCCTGCTAAGGAAGTCAGTGACCTTTCAACCAAATCTACCTGCCTATCTTCAGTCCGCATTCTACGATTTCACTTCTTTGGAGCACGAGATAATGTGGGCCATTTCTTCTTTAAAAATAACAAGAGTTCCTCAAAAAGTTCAACATAGAATTATCATATGACCCCACAATTCCACTCCCAGGTTTATGTCCAAAAGAATTAAAAACAGGTACTCAAAACACACATTTTCATAGCAGCAACTATTCACAAAAGCCAAAAGGCAGAAATAATCAACTGATGAATGGAAAAACAAACTGTGGTATATCCATCCAACGGAATATTATTCAGCCATCAAAAAAGAAGGAAGTGCTGGGGTGCCTGGGTGGCTCAGTCAGTTAAGGGTCCAACTTCAGCTCAGGTCATGATCTCACGGTTTGTAAGTTCAAGCCCCACACTGAGCTGTCAGCTCAGAGCCTGGAGCCTGCTTTGGATTCTTTGTCTCCCTCTCTCTCTGCCCCTCTCCCACTTATGCGCGTGTGCTCTCTCTCCCTCTCTCTCTCTCTCTCTCAAAAATAAATAAAAATTAAAAAAAAAGAAGAAGAATGAAGTATGAATACAACAGAGATGAACCCAGAAAACATTTAGCACTCATTATGCTAAATTGAAAGAAGCCAGACACAAAAGGTCAATATCGTATGATCCCTTTTATATGAAATATCCCGCACAGAAAAATCCACTGAGACAGAACAGACTGGTGGTTGCCAGCGGGCAGGGAGGAATGAGAAGAAAGTGCTTGATGGGTATGGAGCGATGGACATATTCGGACATCAGACAGAGTCAGCGGGGCACACTATAAATGTAACAAATCCCACTGAACCGTTCGATTTAAAATGCTTAATTTTATGTAATATGAATTCCACCTCAATACATTTATTTTCAAGTGTCTTGGAACTTTCTCTTCTCCTAACTTTCCGGATCCTTTCAGGCTCAGTGCTCTCCTCTCCAACCTTTCCTTCGTGCCTTCAGTGGTGGAAGACCCCTCCACTCTGGCCTCAGGCTCCGCCTCCCCACGTCCCATGAACACTCCTTACTCGCTTCCTCCACACCAAGTACCTGCACCTTCCATTCCCTCTGCCTGGTGCTTATCCCTTCACCTGGATAACCACTGGGCAGCCAGTGAGATCAGGTGCAAATACTCAGTCGTGAAGCCCTCCCCAGCGGGATGACTCCCTGCTCTCTGCTTCCAAGGCTCATCCCGTTACAGCGGCCCTATCACACTGCGACGTGCCAATCTGTGTCGGGGGCTGCCTCTACCCCCTGGCTGTCCGCCACGTGCCCGCAGCCCACGCCTCGCCTAGGCCTGGATCTCCAAACCCTGGCACGATGGCTGGCATACAGCAGGTCCCCCGTAAACATTCGCTACAAGAAAGCATAACGTCAAGGACTGAACAAGGGGGATGGTCACCAGAAGGAAAGAAGAGACAAATGACAAAAGCCCTGATCTGGGAAATGAGTGCAGATGGATACTGGACACAGGAGAGAATTCAAAATGGTGTGAAAATTAGGTCTGGACAACTGGGAGAAACCTTGGTGCCATCGCCCACAAAAAGGCAGCACAGAGAGAGAAAGCAGCCGTAGAGATATCACCGCCGAAGGCAAGGCTGTCTTCAAGCTGGAGAGCAAGTTCCGTGAGGGCTGCGACAGTCTTTATCCTAATTTTATTTTGCTCCCTCAGAGTCTAGCCTGGTGACTGGAGTGGAACAACTACCCGTTTCCATCAGTGGTCTCAGGACAGAGCTTGCCATTTTTGCTCTGCAAAGACGCTCTGAACCAGAGGTAAAGATGGAACCCAGTGTGAGGCCTCACAGGAATCAGGGATGCCGGAACAAGAAAGCAGCACATTAAGCTGAGGGAAAAGGTAAGAAAGACAGGACCCGAGACATGAGGCCCAGGCTGCAAGGTCACACGGCCACAGGCAGGCCTACACCCAGACGTGAGGGTGGAACGGGGACAGCAAATAACTGCTGACTCATGGGCTCACTCTGGCCGATGGGAGCAGGAGCAAAAATGTGCTAAGCTTAGAGTCAAGCAAGCAGCAGGGGCCGAGGGCAGAGGGCCTTGTGAGGGGGGTCTGGATTTTATGCGAAGTTCTGCCCATTAGGGAAAACGCGTGATCTTCTCCAGTGCTCAGGCTTCACTATGAGAAAGTCAAAAACCCTTAAGGAAAGCCACACTAACCTGTATAAAGGCGGTAACATTTTCCCGAACGGCTGCGGCCGCCACGTCCTGCGCGCTGGTTGGCTGATGCCTGGGACACTGGGACCACCACCAAGCACTCGATGGCTGTCCTGGGATTGTAGGCTCGGAGTTTCACGAAGCCACAGTCGATCACATACACAATCCCGCTGATTGTAATGGAGGTTTCAGCCACATTGGTGGCTACGATCACCTGGGTCCCCACAGGAAGAAGAGTAAAAAAGAGCTGCTTAGATCTTTTCACTGTTAAGAAACTACTCAAAATCCTACAAGATTTACTAAAGATATTTCCAACAGTGTAGAATCTGTATGAGGCAGTTTAATAGACTGGAAAGGCCATGAGTTTTAGGGTCAGCCCTGTATAAAGCCCTGGGCTTGAAATCTGCCTAAGGTGTGACTTTGGACAAGTTACTTAACTTCCTGCACAGCCCCTCACCTATGTAATATCCACCCCTCCTGGGCTGTGGAGGGGATCAAGTGTGAACTATATACATAAAGTACTTACAGCCTGGCGCTCGGCCCATAATAAACACTCAACGAATGTTAGTTTTTGCCTTTTGCACAACTGAAGGAAATGACCACCTCGTACATCCCTATTCATTTATTTGCTCGCATTCGAACCATTTCTGAGAATCTGTCTGTGCTTTGCAGGTACTGCTCAAGGTGCCAGGGATGTACGGGGAACAGGAAAGTCAGGGCCCCTGTTCTCCCAGAGTCTGCATCCTCGTGTGAGAGTCTGGGTGAAGAAGCAGTGAGCATGAACAAGCCGACAACCTCAGAGAGTGACAAATACTATGAAGAAAATGCAACAGAGTAATAGCACAACATTACCGGGTGCAGTGCTCATTATGTGTTAAATAAGAATAATGTGGTACGCTACTGTGGATGGCCAAGGAAAGTCTCTCTAGAAGATTTTGGGCTGAGGCCTGAGTAACGAGAAACAGTCAACCTGCTAGAGACGCAGACAGAAGAAACAGTTCGAAGCGGAAACAGCCAGGGAGGCCAGAATCCAGGGGAAGTACAAGAGGAGGCTGAGGACAGCCAGGACCAGATCGCGTACGGTCTCTGGGCCACCAGGAGGGCTGGCATTTTATTCTAAGTGCACCAGGCACTGCCCCTGGAAGATGTGAAGCAGCAAGGAGCATGCAAAACAGCACTCAGAACCTTTCAAAGGCACTTCTCCATCTATCATTTTGTAAAAATACACATTTACTAGTTTATACTAGAGACCCACCTATCCAAACTTGTTATTTATGCTTCGCAGCTGAGAAAACCGGGCCTTGAGGTTGAGAAACCCATCCAGGCTCCGAGTAGCTCAGGCACAGAGTCCAGGTCTCCTGACTGGTTGGCCACAGTCCACGGACTCGCAGGCTTGAGGTGCTCCACCCCAACGACCAGGAGGCTGGGCAACTTCTCCCAAGTGATCAGAATCGGGAGTGGATCCTCAGACCGGCCCTCACCCACCGTGTTCTCTACCAACCGCTTGCTGATAAACAGCTACAACAAGCCAGCTTCAGGCCAGGTCTGGGCCTTCCTCGTCCTCTGGGAAGGAAAGCTGAGCCAGGCCCAGGGGACAACGAGCGGGACACAGGCTGGCCGCCTGCTCATTCCTTCCAACTCATGTTTCTCACCACACCCTTCCCCACCCCAATTTCCAGGCTAAATATTTTTAAAACCACACTTTGAATTAACTGATCCAAACTTGGCTCCATAGGCTAACTGCTGATGCCTAAAACAAACGGTTTAGAAACCATTTGTAGTAACTCATCTACACAATTCACTAAGACACTCACGTCAGGCAAGCCAGTTTCGTGCCATAGGGAACAATATTAAGCAGACAGAAAAGAGGCAGAGAGGAGTCACTTGTTCTGATCATTGCTGTCACAGTGATCCTTCTGTGGGGCAGCTTTAGAGATTTCTGAACACCGTATTCGTTGTGATTTATTGTGTGCGTTTAGATCTACTGCACAGAAACCCGGACCTAAAAGTCTTACCAAGTTTCACTTCCATTAAAAAACAAGCAAACAAACCAACAAAAAACCTTCCCAGCCATCACAGATGGCTGCCAAGGCCCTGGTCAGCGGGTCAGTCTCACCTTTCTGACGCTGCGTGACACCCTTTCAAACACTTTCATTTGCTCAAAGGAAGGCAGTCCTGCGTACATGGGCAGGACCCGGAGGTGTCTCTTCATCCCAGTTCGCCCTAGAGCCCGAGCCTGCTCGATTAGCATAGACACGACCGTTTCCACCTCTTCCTAAAAACATCGAACCAGGAACCAAAGAACCCGAGATCAGTTTGAAGCATGTCATTTTTGAAAGAAAATGTTAATTCAGGACCAGAATTTTAACTGTGGTAGGATTCACGATTCCCAGGGCGAGCACACTCTGCTCTGGGGCGGTTTTTAATCAAATGCTACTGAACAGTGGTGCCTATGGGGTGAAAATTTGCAACTGTCAGGTTCATTACTGACATCTATGCTATCTGCAGTGAATACAAGAGCTCCCAATCAACAAAAACAATGACTATTTTACTCGGCTTTCACGTACTGTGGTAAACAAAGCACGTCCTACATGTGGACAAGCTGTGACACATAAAATCACTACAGGGCTTTCCCCAGAAAGGACTACCGTACTGTGGAAAGTGTTCGACAGTGGAAAAGACGACGGCTGGAGGGTGGTTCTGAACAGTGCTCCAACTCTGAGTGAGCAGTGGGGCTTGTTCAGGTCATTTTCCAGGGATGTGTCCGCTCACCACCCCAGGAGGGGTGGTGTCGCCGGGAAAGAGGCATACAGCAGCCAACGCACTTGCACAAAGGGTCCCTAACACAGCATTTCACCACGGTTAGCACAACAGCCCGCTGACTGCCTCGTTTACTTTGGAACCAAGTAATAAATTTAAAATACGCTGAACCCTCTGCAGATAGAACAGGCGGGAGCTAATGATTCCCTGACAATCCAGTCGGTAGATGAATGACATCAATCCAAACAATTTTATACGCAATTAATTAATCACAAGATACAATAAAATCTGAAATGAATAGTTAAGTAAAGGAACACGCCCCTGTGTTAATTTTGGTGTTGCCTTAACATGTCTGTTTGTCAGAGAAAATTCCAGTGGAATTACCTGGCCAGTAAGAAATGCTAGTATGTCTCCATCTCCCTCTGTCTGGTGAATTTTCATCACAGTCTCTACAGTTGATTTGATATAATCTGGAACAGGACTGAAAAGACGTAGGAGATGAATTCATCACTAGGACATGCTCATCAGTTATAGATTAATTAGCCTCATAATCCAGCAGCAAAACCTCATGAAAGTTAGTTTGGGCCTGCCTGGCAGGTGAACAGTATGTGAATAAATAAAATAGTCATTCACTTTTTTCCTTTTTTTTTTTTTT